CACACACACACACACGCTGGTCAGTCCCAGACTTTGAAGGGACCTGGACTGCTTCCAAGAAAATATCCGCAACTGCACTTATATCACAATATAATAAACAGACAATGATGTACTGTGCACACGTGCATGTGTTCATCTGTACAAACACACACATACAGTGACCGTGCATGTGTAGACAATGCCAACAGTTACACAATTGCTTGGGGAATCACCCAGTGCAACATCTTTGTTTAAAATGATTATTGTTTTCATGTGTTCATTAAAAAAAATCTATTATATGTCAGAACATTACATAAACACACTGAGGTTATTTTAGTCACCAGATTTGAGACAAGTTTAAAAAATGAGTATTACAGTAAAGCTGTTTGTCTTATGTTTACTCAAAATAATGGGTAATTACAGTAATTGATTAATTTCCCCACACAAATTATCAGATTTATCATGTCAAGTAACGTCAAGCAAAGTTACCATACCTGAGATGATTTTATCATTTTCTTTGTCATCAATTGTAGAAAATTAAATATATTTAGGGTTTACGTTAGTAAGAATATGTCACTTCGGGCTCTTTGGAATCATAATCAAACTTGTTGTGTGAGAAGTTACATAAGTCTTCTGACATCAGAACACACCTGTGTCACTGATGACCAACACACAAGTCATCATCATGGTAACGTTCCTTTCAGAGTGCTCCCTAACTTCCTTCCTAAATCTATCTCTCACCCTTTCTCCCTCGTGCTCACCCATTCCTATTCACTTAATGTGTGTGTGTGTGTGTGTGTGTGTGTGTCTCTCAACCTCAAGGTCAGCACCTCTTTTTACATCCCCCAGTCATTTCCTTCTTAGACAGACTGAAAGACAAACATTATAAGGGCTTTACAGTAACGTGGGCTTAAAGGTCCTGGGAACGAGAACAGTTTACTGAGCAACTGCTCAACAAATCTGTCGTCAACTTCATCACCACCACCATCATCATCATCATCATCATCATCATCATCATCATCATCATCGTGATCATTGTGATCATTTTCAATATGTTGGTATAAACACTAAGCTGCCCAGGGCTCTGAACGTGCTGGCATTAGGAGCAGACCAAAGACAGTCTCATCTATGGGTCTGTCACACTTGTGTGCGTCCAGCAGCAGCTGTGGTTCCAGTTGATCACACTCTGTGTGAGAAGAACGTTGCAGTGGCACCGTGACGCCTGCAGATGCTGCATGAATTTGCCTGAAACATATAAAAAGCTCCACAAGGGACAGAGAGGAATCCTTTGGGATTTCAGCTTTTTTCTGTTAAAACTAAATTGATCTAATACTGTCACATTTCTTATTTAAAGTATTTAAAGATGTTTGTTTTGTGCTTGTTGTTTTGTTGGCTTCTTTCAAAATATAACCAACAGAAATGCTATTGAATCTATTAAAAACAAATAATAACATATTTTAAAGCAGGACAGAATCATTTAAATTTGACTTTATAATATATTCTTATCAGTTTAAATGAACCTCCAAAGAAAAAGAGGGAACAAAACTTATAATAAGAGTGATTTACTTGTAAATAGATTGTGATACAGTTTTATAGATTGCTTTACAGCTTTATTTCTGCTGGTACATTGACATGCAGTGAAGAAACTGGATTGACTTGAACTAAAATGTTTTTAATCGAATATTTTCAGTGGGTCACACTGGAATAGATCTGAGTAAAAGCACTTAACTTGCACATTGACTGTTTTACACAGGGTTAGGGGGGTAGAGGTTAGGCTACATTTTGCAGCTACACTACTACAGGAAGTAGTGAAGGAGAACTTCACTTAACCGCCCTTCACTTCTGTAATACTGGTTTGAAAGATTATTACTAAATATGCATTGGCCTGCTGGACAGGATTATACATTGACAAGAAAAATGTGTGAATTGAGTTTATGAAAAAAATAGATTAAAAAAATTAAATAACAACTTGAATAGAACTCAGTAGCATGCATACCTCCACTAAGGCCTCAGTCCCCTTATGAAACCACATTTACAGTCACTGGATGCAGATTGTATTTGGACCTTTGCATTTCTACCTGGGAAATCAGTAAAGGTGTCAAAAAAAGTCAATAACAATCCTCTAAACATCCCCTGATCTGGATCTTCTCCTAAAATGTTTTTGGTCCATACCACATCCCTTCACCAAGTTTCAAGAAAACTGATTGAGAAGTTTTAGCGTGACTTTGCTACTGTAAAGCCCTGACCTCTCAGCTTACAGTCACACTCACACACACACACACACACAAGAGAAATTGTCGACTCTCATTCAAAGCCCTCTGTGAACACCCAAACTGTAGATGGGGAATAATAATAGAAACATATGATAACAGACAGTTTCCGTTTCTCCCTTGAGAGAGGAAGAAATCAAGAGAGGATTGTTCTAATCTCAGAGCCGCACCCTCACGCCCTCCTCCTGCATGCTACCTCAAAATACCCCCCTCAATAAACTGAGAATCGATGTGAGAGAGAGAGAGAGAGAGAGAGTGTGCCGAGACTTGAGTACAAACTAAGGTTCTCTCTCTCTCTGTTCGTGTGTGTGTGTGTGAGTGCACCAGGTGTTCTATACTCATGATGTGGGGACCTAAATCTTTCCACGTTATGGGGACATTCCTTAACAGTATAAATATCTATCTTTCCATCCATCCATCCATCTCATTGCGTGTGTTGGAGGTTTTGAGATCATGTGTTTGATCCTTAAACGCTCACTCAAATTATTTCAACACCCAGAGATTCAATTCCTCGTATGTTCAGACACACATGGTCCGACCATGTGGCCCTGGGTGTTTAAAGTCGTCTCTGTAGTTTTGAGGTTGTGGAATTAAACCTCTGTAAACTTTCAGTCTGAGATGAAACAGATGAACAGT